CATCCCATAATCTCTCTCCACCCAGCGCCCTATCTCGTCAAGGGCGGACAGCTAGCGCGCACAATGATCCAATGTTAGCGCAATGCAAGGGAAACATATCAGGCTCAAATATCTGCCTTATAGAACTGAATTGTCCGCAACAACTAGTACTAGTAGTAGTGTGGACTGTGGAGATTTCGGTTCATGGACATAGATAAGCGCTGACCACAATTCATTTTCGCAGTGTGCGACATGTGCAAAGGTGGCCAGCTCTTATATCCTTGGGCCGAGATTTCAGCGGTGCTGATCGACGTCATACAACCACACAATTTAAATAGCTACAGGTAAACTACGTTATAAATAATTAGATAGAAAGTTCCCGAGCAACAAAGATAGAATTAAAGTACAAAGTTCCCCAGTAACAGAGATAAAAAGTTCCCTAGCAACAGAGATTGAAAGTTCCCCAGCAGCCGAGATAGAAAGTACAAAGTTCCCCAGCAACAGAGATAGAAAGTTTCCCAGCAACAGAGATTGAAAGTTTCCCAGCAACAGAGATTGAAAGTTTCCCAGCAACAGAGATTGAAAGTTTCCCAGCAACAGAGATTGAAAGTTTCCCAGCAACAGAGATTGAAAGTTCCCCAGCAGCAGAGATAGAAGGTTCCAGTGTAACAGAGATTAACAGAGATTGAAAGTTCCCCAGCAGCAGAGATAGAAGGTTCCAGTGTAACAGAGATAGAAAGTTCCCAAGCAACAGAGATAGAATTAAAGCTCCCCAGCAACAGATATATAAAGCTCCCCAGCAACAGATATATAAAGCTCGCCAGCAACAGAGATATAAAGCTCGCCAGCAACAGAGAACAGTGCGAGGAAGGGGTATACTATAACATCTCCCAGATGTGGGAATCGAAGCAGTGGGTTGCATCACCAGTGTGCTGGGCAAGGGGGTTACACCACCCAGGCACCTGCCCGCACCTGAGCCACATGTGGGAGGTGGGCCATATGGTGGTACTGCCAGGATCGTACATCACAGCCAGGCTGCTATATAAGCAGCCACAATTCCCCAGTAAAAGTTAGTTCGGTCAGGACGGCCACGAGCTTGAAAGAGCATGCAATCATCGAGGAAGCAGTTCGGCCAGGACGGCCACGAGCTTGGAAGTGCAACCAACCTACAGAGGAACTGCGCAAAGAACCAGCGACAGAAAAGTCGATTTTCAGCCACGAGCTCGAGAGAGCAACACATAACGAGGGAGAGTCCGACCACGAGCTCGAAAGAGCAAGCCAGCGCAAGAAGGAGTCACCCACGAGCTCAGTTGAGTAGTGCCAACGAAGAAGGGGTAAACGACCAGCAGGTATACCAAATAATAAAGGGTCTTAATCACAATTTGAACAGCGCGTCAACACACTCAATGAGCGAGGTATCCAACGGTCCAAGGAGCCACGCTTCTATCAATGCGAACGAGCAGCGGCGGCAACTGATGAAGAGCAACGTCTGTGGGCTACAAGACTTAGAGTAGATATTAGATAAGGCAAACATATAATTAAAATAAGCAAAGTAAACGTTAACATAAGTATATATATTCTATATATTTTAGATACTCTCAGTCTATATTATTCGTATAGCGATAAATAAAGATATCCATTGAATAAAATAAATATACAGACTTTGTTTCATTTCGCTGTGGGATTTCTTGCTAAGTACTGCATCGCCGTCCTGCCTTTACAATGGGAGAGAAAAATGATCCCAAATCAAATAAATTCTACATGTTGACTTAGCACGTGGGAGACTCCAGTTGCGGCCACCCCTAGGGCCACTACAGTAGTAGTAGGTGCAAGCAACAAAGTTATGGTGTTATTGTTTGTGCACAGTAACGTTCGTGCAGTGAACTTTTGTGTCGTAGAGATTGTTTATTTATCCTCATTTTGATTGAAATGTTCCAAGTGCCTGTGACTACTAATAAATTATAACGGTAATTTAGCTATGATCTAGAGTACTGGCAGCGGCATCAAGTCCACCACCTCACGCATAGCTCTACCGGTGTAGCCCCTTTGCTCCCACTACAGTATTCCCTGTAGTGGGAGCGAAGAAGCCACACCAGTGTTATATATATATGTGTGTGAACGTGAGTGTGTTGGGGTGGGGGTGGACTTGATCCTGCTGCCAGTGAATTTTATAGAGGACTCGTCACGGTCATCGTGTACATCATCATCGCGATTCATTATCATATATTGTATGATATGTCATGACATGTCAGATGAAAGACCTCATAAATTGTGCGCTAAAAATTGATGTAATCTAACGCTATTCACAGACACCTAGAATAGTGGCAGATTATAAAAAAAAGTATAGGGTGCAATTATTGATCTACCTGCCTGGGCTCCCTGCACCTGGCTCATCCTCCCGTATTCCCTTAGGTCCTTTTGATGCTCTCCACTTGTCATACACTGTATTCTGAGGCACTGGGCAGTCCCTAGTAGTGGCTGGACATTAGCACCACTCCAAAAACTGTTGGTCCAGTAATCTTAGGCTTCTGACCTTATAGATACTGTCGTTCCCATGTCCACCAATCGGAGCATGCATTCCTGCAGCAGGCAGTGTGGTTAGATTAGTTCCTCATCTGTTTCCTGCACAATAGTTACCAGGAACCCATCTACCCAGTACTATAGGTGGCAGAACATGTGACAGTGTAATTGTGAATGAGGACACCTGTTCTCTTTCATCGCTTAGAGTATGTGGCGTTTAAACAATTTATTGCCACCAAACATTTCCATGGAGAAAGTATGTGAGTGAAATAAATGATCACTGGAATCTTACAGGTATAGGCAGAGGTTTGTGCAAGGCTTTGGCTGATTGTGGAGCACATGTCATAGCACTGAGCAAAAGTGTGGAGAACCTGCATTCTCTGAAGCAGGAGGTATATAAATTAAGGTTTTTCATGCAGTTTCGTAGACTATTTCTACACTCCTAGTCGTTACTAAATTTTAATTTCAGTGGCATCAAGTGATGAGGCTGGTTGAACCCACATTGAGTAGTGGCAGTGGACCTGTGTCTCGTAGAGATGGTCTATCCATCCTCTTCAGAGTCATCTATCCTCGTTGTTTCTTTCTTATAGATACCTGGAATAGAAATAGTAGTTGCTGATCTGGGAGACAGAGCACAGACGAGAAAGGCTATAGAAGGCATTTTGCCAATTCATCTCTTGGTAAATAATGCTGGAATATCGAAGCTGGCTCCATTCCTTGAGGTACTACCAGAAGACTTTGACAGGCAAGCCATTTCATTATATGCTTAACACACTACAGGAATGAAACTTAGTAATTATAGATAGATAAAGAATATAAATCGTATACATAATGTTTACATTCAACATTAGAAATGTACATACAATACACGTGGAGTGTTGGTATTAGGTTTTAATTTAAGCTAAACTATAGTTTGTTCTCACCAATGAGGCTAAATATTCCATTGTGTGATGATTTATTTTGTAATATTTTGAGTGCAGGCATATCGTCATTGTCATGGGGTGCTATTAATTGTTTAAAATGTCATTTCTTTTTACAGTGTAATAGATATCAACCTACGAGCAGTTTTTGATGTATCACAAGTAAGATCAGTTAAACCATCATAGTTATTTGTAAAATGCAAATATATATGAAATGAAACAATAATAAGTGATTCAAGATACAGTAAATAATTAATTCACATAAGCTTTGCCCTCTGCAAACACACCATCAAATGTATAGCACAAACTCACACTGAACTAGCTGTGGCTGGTAACATTCAATTATTTATTAGACCCAAAGCGATATACCAGCCAGGTATATATGCAAGTTGTTCGTTCATTCTTTTTCCTCCCTGTTCGTGTCTAGTAGGTTTGAATCTATGTATATAGTTATAGTAAGCATGTGTATCACTTCAGGTCGTCGCTAGAGACATGGTGGCGAGGAAAATGGGTGGAGCGATTGTCAATGTGTCAAGCATGGCTTCGCAACGCGCGCTTCTCAACCACACTGCTTACTGCTCCAGCAAAGCTGGGCTGGACATGCTCACCAAAATGATGGCTCTCGAGTTGGGACCGCACAAGGCACGTGCAGCAAAATTGATGATCATTGATTAATTAATTATTGCATCGATTGTTTCTCGCACCTGTTCTATTTTGTTTATTTCCTATTAGCCTTCTTTTTCGTCAGTTGTCAGTTTTAACATTGCTTCTTTTTCCATTGCAGATACGAGTAAATTCTGTCAACCCGATTGTCGTATTGACTGAAATGGGTAAAATGGCCTGGAGTGACCCAGCCAAGGCTGGCCCAATGTTGAGTAGGATCCCACTGCAACAATTTGCAGGTATGCATCTTGTATACCAGGCAGTTAAATATAGATCTTTTCTCAAGCAGCTAGGTAGTTATGATAAATATTTATTAAACATGTTTTTAATACTGATTTATATGCACATCTGTGTACATTAGTATGTTACTGTAGTGGTATGCAGCAGGAGCGACAAGGTTTGATAAATTCTTAAAGTAATTACAATCATTCTGAAGCCTGGCGCACATTGCCGAACATTTTCCCGAATAAATGTTTTTGTTTGGCAATGTGCGGGTGAACAATTGCTGAGCGCACATTGCCGAACATTTTGCAGCGAACAACCTCGTGGCGCCGTCTAGTAGCTGTGTTGTAAAGAGTCACGTGATCGGCGCATGATTGGGCACCAAAATCATGTGACCACATATCGTGCTGCTATTGGTTACTACTTTACAAATGTTCCTAGAATTGTTCGACATTCAGCGCACATTGACGAACATTCGATGGACAATGTTCGAGTTCGAGATATCAAACATTTCCGATCTTCAGAAACATTGTTCGGAACAAATGTTCGGCGACTTTTTCCACCGCACATTGCCGAACATTTCATGGAACATTAATTGCTACGATAATGTTTTTGAGCAAAATGTTTGGCAATGTGCACCGGGCTTAAGTGTTTCAGCTCTGATGTATCTTTTGAAGTGTACGTATATCTGTAGTGCTATCTGCTGGTTGCTGTGTTTAATAAACACCAGCCGGTTGATTATGCATGCATAGATATGCTATGCAGGGTTCTTTGCAGACCTCTAACATGTTTTTAACACATGTTGGGTCTGACATGCCTTCAAAGATGAAGCTGATTTTGCGACATTCAATAAATCATCCAACATGCCTGAATTACCTAATCAACATACCCTAATTTTTATCTGTGTTTACTTTTGGCAATCTCAACATGGTTATGCTGTGTTTTCACAGCTTGATATGTACGACCCCCTAACTGATTTGAGTTTACCTGGGTATTCGAGCTGCTTATGACATGCATGACTGATTCCAATTAGTAATCAGAGATGAATTGTCTGATTGTTCGACATGCCTTCTGAAATTACTAGGGAGAAACCCTGCTATATATATATCATCAATAATGTCTAAAAAATTAGTTGTCTAGTTATTATATACTATTGATACAAGGTTTTGTGAACGAAGTTTTATTGGCATGTATTTTCTCTAATGTAGGTGTTGCCAGAAACACATTACATCACATTTACTGAAAATGTTATCACCTCATGTTTGCTTCTAGAATGGTTCACTAGAGTATTTTATATCTACAGTAAATCTGAATTAATCTGCAGTCAAACCTGTGATAGCAGCTACCTCTACACTATAGACCAGTTATGTGACGATAGAGACAACATTTGCCCTGTCTTTTCAGTATCCGTCATATGCAAGTTTGGCGGTAATATAAATCCAGTCTCAGAAGAGAACAAATGTGCTAATAAAACTTTGAGACATCTTGTTTTGCATGCCAGCCAAACACGCCAGTGTGTTAATTTATTTTTCGTCGCACGTGCAGTTGCAGTGGTAATTCGTGAACACCACGTCCCATCTGTTCTTTTCACACAGAGGTTGAGCATGTCATCCAACCAATACTCTATCTACTAAGTGACAAAGCCCAAATGGTCAACGGCACAACCCTTGGCATAGAGGGTGGATTTTGGAGCTGCTAAATTGTCGTCGGACACAAACAACACTTTCGGTTTCAGCCAGGGTACTTTGAGTAGAGTATACAGTGCTACAGGTAGTGACATGCTAGGAGTTATGCTATATACAGCCTAGGGTGTGAGGGGATGACTATGATCAGAGAGGGTGTGAAGTAAACATGATATGATACAGCATTGATTTCAAGTAAATCTAGCATTTGAAGATTAGTCGTTCGATGGTTATATCAAAGAGCCTATATTGATATCAATGTAGGCTCTTTGGTTATATCAGTAACGAATAAAAACATTTGTTTTTATTCTCTCCTGTTTATATATTAAGCACAATGAAAAAGCATATAACTTTTTACAATTTCCTTAGAGGAATAAATGCTCCTGTAGAAAACATGTGACACTAAAACTGAAATTAATCATGACGATGATAGTTTTACGATTTTTACATGTCTTCGTAATATTATTTTAGTGATGTATGTATTTATACATCAGGAGTAGATAATAGGCTACTCTATTATCTACTCCTGTTATACATACAGTCGGCACTATATTTTCCTGCTATGTGTAATTACGGCTTTGAATAAAATGAGTAATAATATTTGTATAATTAAATTCTTGGTAAATATACGTTTTGAATGTGTTCATCCTTATGCGTGCGCGCGCGTGTCTTGGTGAGTTATTATCAGGGGTTAATAATGGAGAAAAAAAAATGTCATTATTAACTCCTGTTATTATTTAAATAACAATTGCTGCGTAAACTGATATTATATGCGATTGCATGCCACATTTAATTTGATGCCCCAATTAGTTTTCAAAGTCCTACACAGGATTGGACAAATTAAAAGACGTAGTATAGCTCGAACGAATATACAATTATATTGAACACAATTTATGCTTCCCCCTGATGTAGGTTCCTGTATAGATTTTCTTCATGTTCGTCCAACAAACCATTTTCTTTTGTTCTCCTCGTTGCGTTTTCTACTGTCGTTGTTGAGCTGCCAACTTCCCGATCTTCATTTTGAGTTTTCCTGATGCGAGTGAAGTGCTGACTGTGTTTTGAATGCGTTATTACTTACTTACTTCTCGACTTCTTACTTACCGCTGGATTATTACTATATATTTATTACGTTACAATACGTGCATACATACCTATAGGCATTGCAATACGTACAATATATTATTGCGATATATTCGGCAGTTCAAACAAGCTTTTATCGCTTGATTCAGCACGTGCGTGCGTGCGTGCGTGCGTGCGTGAGTGTTCGTGTGCAGCCTGTCACGCGAGTAGCACGCGACCAGGAGCTCACATACCTTGACGCCGAGTTGTTTATAATTAGCGTGCGAACGCGTGCCACCTGTTGCCGTAACCTGCGGTATTTCTCGGCGCGCGCGCCGTTATCTTGCGCGTGCCATTACGAGAGCTCGCTGTCTTCTACGGAAGCGTCGCCGCGAGACGCTCCTGTGAGCATGTGCAGGCGATAGTCGTCCAGAGACAACGGCGTGGACTGGGTTGCTAGCTCGTTGCGGAGCAAGCTGCGTGTGATGACGCAGTGGAACCTAAGGGGAAGATATGCGCATATGGTATCAGAGTATCGCGGTAAGAACCTAGAAGAAAAACGTGAACATTATCAAGGTTTTTTTGGTCAAGGTCATTTTGCTGGTTTAAACACGGCAACCTAGATGGGAGACACGCACATTATCATGATGCGACTGGTTTAAGCTTGGTTACCTAGGGAAATACATTTACGTCATCAAAATCCTATAAGAAAGGTGCGGCGGTCTATTCAATAAAGTAAAGAACCGGACAGTTCGATCGGGAAGTTTCTGCGCGCCTTGACTGATCTGAGGATTCATCATGCAACGTTAGAAACGCCGGTTTTTTTTCTCACTAGTGCCTCTCACCTAATGGGTGGCTGACTGCTATACCTATACCAGCGCGGCACACAGACTCAAGGGAGGCACACTGCGATTGCGTTGGATAGAGTTTGGGTATATATATACCTGCTAGCCATCATGCCGGTGTGGTTCCTTAGACGCAATTCCAGGCGGTACTCCGAGAGCGGCGACAGAAGTCCTTCAATGAGGTAATGCTGGCAAAAACCTTCAACTGTGCTTTTTTGTATGTGTGTAGAATCAAACCTATATTAGCGGACAGCTCTATAGAACGATCGCCGCGGATCAAGGCCATATATATATTCGGTTTCCTTGAGTGGCAGTTAGAAAGTGCACCCATATCTCTATAGAACGGACATCTGTATAATTATAGAGACAACTTACGGGATTTCCCCTGACCGTTAGTTATATAGTGCGCCAATCCATAGGAAACGGACACCTGTCTATAAAGACAACTTTTGAGGCTCGGATTTTCCTTCATATAAGCCTCGTTCACACGAGACCTCGTATTTATGAAATACGGTATTTGCGAAATACCGAATCTGAGACAAATACGCGGCCGAGCGTTCACACGCTGATTCGCGGCTCCAGAAATACGGTATTTGCGAAATACCGAATCTGAGACAAATACGCGGCCGAGCGTTCACACGCTGATTCGCGGCTCCAGAAATACGGTATTTGCGAGCTGCGAGCTGCTTTAAACAATCAAGCGAACAATGTGAAATAAACAATGCAATGCGCACCAACTGCCGATAAAATACGTAGACTGGCTAATACAAATACGCGGCTTCAGAAATACGGTATTTAGCGTTCACACGAGGAAATGCGCGGTCCAAGAGATCCGGTATTTCTCAAGCACGGCAAATTATTCGGGGTCTGGAAAGCCGCGTAATTATACCGGATTTGTTTAGATACTGTATTTCTTGGACCGCGCATTTTGCTTCGTGTGAACGCTAAATTCCGGATTTCTTGCGCGTTCACACGTAGCAAGAAATTCGGTATTGAGAAATACCGGATCTCTTGGACCGCGCATTTCCTCGTGTGAACGCTAAATACCGGATTTCTGAAGCCACGTATTTTATAGACGGGTCCGCGCTCGACAGTTCCAGTGTAACGCGAGTGGAACTGTCGAGGGCGGACCAGTCTACGTATTTTATCGGCAGTTGGTGCGCATTGCATTTTTAATTTCGCATTGTTCGCTTGATTGTTTAATATAAAGCAGCTTGCAGCTCGCAAATACCGTATTTCTGGAGCCGCGAATCAGCGTGTGAACGCTCGGCCGCGTATTTAGCTCAGATTCGGTATTTCGCAAATACCGTATTTCATAAATACGAGGTCTCGTGTGAACGAGGCTATATACAGGTTTGACTGTAGGGTTGATTTGACTCTGTGCTTATTTACTGTACGATCGCGTGATTCGAGATGCAGAAGAATTCCCAGCGAATGCATCATCAACGTTATATACATTATACACAGTATATTTATCGCATCAGGATCTACAGTTAAATTGCATATATCTATCGCAGCATTATATAATGCGCCTGTACTCACGCATTCCATGAACCAAGAATTATTCACAATTTTAACTATATCAGGAATAAGCTATATGTGTTAATTATTTCCTACTATTACCTTTAATACACCTAGATATAATATTTTTATTTGTATCAATAAATGAAGCACATGCGTGAAGAAATGTGTGCAGGATGCACGTACATTAGTGTCTGTTATATGTTCATCATGTTATAGGCCTATATGATATTGCGCGGTGCAGCATTATCACAACTCGCGAAATGGCTGCCGTCCCGGCCCGATTCATAAGCCTCGTTCACACGAGACCTCGTATTTCTGAAATACCGGATTTGCGAAATACCGTATCTGAGACAAATACGCGGCCGAGCGTTCACACGCTGATTCGCGGCTCCAGAAATACGGTATTTGCGAGCTGCTAGCTGCTTAGTAACAATCAAGCAAACAATGCGAAATAAACAATGCAATGCGCACCAACTGCCGATAAAATACGTAGACTGGTCCGCGCTCGACAGTTCCACTCGCGTTACACTGGAACTGTCGAGCGCGGACCAGTCTATAAAATACGCGGCTTCAGAAATCCGGTATTTAGCGTTCACACGAGGAAATGCGCGGTCCAAGAAATCCGGTATTTCTCAAGCACGGCAAATTATTCGGGGTATGGGAAGCTTCGTATTTACATGAAATACCGGATCTCGTTAGATTACCCGTATATTTTGGCATTGTAAAAAATTTTGGCCTCGTGTGAACGCCAATACGATTCTGGCTACGTGTGGAACGCGCTATAGTAATCTTTTAGTAAAATATTGACTTGAATACGAAGAACAAATAATACCAGGATCCTGTTACATCCATAACATTTCTGCTGCCGCCGAGTATTTTCATTTCGATAATAAAACAGCTTATGTACACACCATTCTACATCGCATTGTTTTCTTTCAAATTAAGCCTAATACAATTACGGAACCGCTTAATACGATATTTTTCTCTTGGCCGTCAGTTTCGTACTAAACGGGTGCGACTTAGTAATGGAGATAGTAAATTGAATGAGGAGTTAGGCTTTGCAGTAATTGTATCTATTTGTGCAACAAATTTAACGCTATTTAAAGTTCTTATTATACATATCAAACCTAACATACATACATATCAAATACCTTCTGTACACAGCCTTCGTAATCCAATAATTTTCTTTGTTAATTCGGGGCTAATATGTTGAAGTCGGTTAATACGAAACCGCGCTTAATTTTTCTTTGCCCGTCAGTTTTCTACGAAGGGCGTTCTGACATGTAGTAATTGATTCTTGGAAAATGTAGGCAAAAGCCCGCTCGCAGTAAGGTTGATATCCTCCGCACGTATACGTAGTGTAGCGGACGTTATTGTTTCGCGCCGTTAGTGTATATTGTGTGTGTGTGTGTGTGTGTGTGTGTGTGTGTGTGGTGTGTGGTCGTGTGTGTGTGTGTGCGTGGTGTTGCGTGTGGGCGTGTGTGTGTGTTTTCGGTGTGCGTGTGCTGCTGGTGTGCTGTGTTGTGCTTGCGAAACTTTGGTCAGAGGCACACGCTTCAGGGCGCGCTGTGGACCCTATTGATGTTTGACTGCCTTTTCATTCAATGGTCAAGGGTCCACAGGTATCAAACATTTTTGCATGAATGGGTAGATGGATGATTAGCATGATAGATAGGATAGATAGTAGATAGATAGAATAATATTATGTATAGATTACGCATATGCGCTGAAGTGCGAGCGTGCAGGTGGGGGAGACTTTGATTCACACCAGCGCTGGTGTGCCCACATAGCTTGGGCTTGGCGAATCCCTGGCAAGGTACGGTGACGATACCTGACTTCCCTTCGCTGTGGTTGACGTGTTTGCATAGCAATATATACAACGACAGATATGTTGTACTATATCATATGGTGTTCTGTAAAGTCTACAGCCAGCGCACTCTAGCGGGCAATGTTGACGCTGATGCGTGCATGGTTTCCAGCAAATTCTTCGCATTATATTTTCTAAAATAGTTTTTTTAATTTCAACCAGATAAATAACAAAAACAACGTGTTAGAATCGAACCTGATTGCGTTGGAAGTGAAGCACAAAAGATTTCAGCCGGATTTCGTGCACCGCGCTAGAAGTTATGGCAGGAACAAACAGAACGACACTACTCAATTTATTATATTAGATAAAGTACATTTAACTTTTGTGATTATGT